GGTTCGGCAACAAATGATCTAATTAAGGAATTAAGAGTACAAGGTTAGGACCAAACACCATGGCTTAATCATACTGTAGCTAGAATCAATCTGTGAATCTGAATTGAACTTGTTAATTTATTTACTTGAGTTAGTTATTTTTGTCTTTTATATGTATTTACTTTCGTCGTTTAAGTTTAGTTTATGTTTTCCTTACCAAATCAAAACACCTAATTTCTATTTTGTACAGGGAATCGAATTGAATCAATCTATCATCAATCCTCGTGAGATCGACCTTGTTGAATTAATATATCACAAGTTAACGATGCAACTGAATCAATTTTGGCGCAACTAAATCCGATACATCAGTAAGTTTTAAGCAATTTGTTTGTGTTGGTTTTTTTTTTTTGTTTTTTTTTTTGGGTTAATCCTAAGGTGGATATGGGACATATGATTTGGGTGGGAGGCAATAATTTGGAAGTTGATGTGTGTGTGTGTGTGTCTCGCTCAACTCACTGAAGGTCCAAAATATTGATGAGACACATATCATTAACTTTCAAAATATTGTCTTTCTCATATTGGTGGTTCGATTGTGATGAGGAACATAGCTCCCACTGGTAAGATTTCATATCTCTTGGGATCTCATTTGCATTTCTTTGATGATTTCATTTAGTAAATAAGCCTAAAATTATATCGCATACGACAATTTTCTATAGAAATTGTCGTTTTTTTACTCCATACTTGTCATTTTGTTGATCTACCGTCGCAGGCCACCAAAATCTAGAAAATAAATCTTAAAAAGCAATACAAATTTCAAACGACTATAATCAAAGAAGGACAGTCGTCTAAAGGACATAGAGACGACGATATTTTTCAATTAACGAAGTGGAAAAATAATATTATATGGCGCTATAAGTGAAGAAACCGATGTGTTACGTACAAACAACCCAACACTACGTTCTAAATAACGAAGTGGTAAATGACATTTACCTTGACCATTTATTTATACAGCCCATCGTAGTGTACTAACTTGACACGTCTTGAAATATTAAAAATACGACGTGGATATTTTTATATTTAGACGTCGTTATCTACGCTACTAGTGCAGTGGTTCGCTTTTACTCTATATGACAGTAATGAGTAAATACCGTCGTAGTACATGACATTAATACATCGATAAATTTATTTTTACCATCGTGGTATATGACTTTAATACGGCACTGCTTACGAATCTACCGACGTGGAGTCCATTAAAATTATACGATGCTAATTAAGAATAGTTGGTCGTGTTTAACTAGCAGTTAACACGGTGGTAGTTTTCGTAAAACATCGTCTTTACTTTCCACGTCGATAGCTTCATGCATGCGGTCGTTGTTTTTGGGGTTAAGAATTTACGTCTTGAGAAACATGTTTAATAAGATGACTGTTTTTAAGTTCGGTGCGTCATGTTTTATAAATACCCAAGTGGATCTTGAATTTTTAGGTGTTTAAGTTACTTATCCACAGCGGTTTTTTGTTACCGTCACAATGATGGTATTTATTTATACCGTTGTTGTTTTCTGGTCTTCTTTTTCCCTTTTTGTAGTAGTGATTCTTAATGCAGAAGCTCAGGATCCCTGAATTAGAATATCACATTGTAAAAAAAATAAAAAAATTTGTTGATCAAATATTATTTTGTATCCAATAAGTGACTGGTCAATATATTAAGAATGTTGCTATTTCCACCCCCTTATTCTATTTTCCCATCCATTATGTAAATTTGAAAAAATGCAAACTTATCTTTCCACCCACTATTTTTCCTAAAATACCCTTTAATTGTATTTTCATATTTGCCATTACAATATAAAAAAATTCTATAAAAAACAATTAAAGATTTCTTCAATTAGCTCATCCCCACCCCAAGTTCCCCTCCCCTCCCCCCCAAACCTCCTCCTTTGGTGAAAACCCAACAGTTAACACCACGGCCATCACACCCACATCCACCTATCCTTCTCCCATCCGCAGCCATCCCCGCCACCAATTTGATTTTCCCACCGCAACCCTCACTCCTCCTTCGCTAGACAAAACCCAAAATAAATAGATATATATATATCACTCCAATGCCACTGGAGTCAAAGTACAAAGCATTCAAAAGAGGAATTTTCATCTGAGGCGCTATGCCCCAGCTAAGAGAAATTCCCCACAAAGCATTACAATTAAGGAGGTCCAGGAAGACCATCCGAAACCAACACCTAAACTAGTGATAGAGGTGGCTGTACATGCCCCTAAATTGGTTGGAGATGGGTGTGGGTGCATGTGTGAGAGAGAGAGAGTTGTAAATTTGTCATCAAAAGTCATTTTACAATGAGGTAAATTTGTTATTAAATTTTTGAAAATAAAATGGGTGGGGAAATTGAACTTGTGGGTGAAAATAGCAGCACTCTATATTAAGTATGCTAATTAGTGAGATATCTCCTGACGTTGCGCTAAATTGTAAGGCCTTGGAATAAAAGCCCGGCCGCACATGTTTTAATCAGAACCCAGAGGTAGGTGAAGAAATCTCACATCAAAATCAGTTATTAAGGCAATTAGTAATTGGATGACAAATTAAACCTCTGGCTTCAATAAAGCCACAGCTAACAATTTGCGGTTTGTCAAGCCTTAAAAAGCCACACGCTTCCTTGTGATTGTATCTCAATAGCTCAAACGCTTCCTTGTCAAGGGCGGGTTTGAAAATTAAATCAAATTTGGATTTTTATATAGAACACGGTGAGTGAGTGCCAGAGTCAGAGTCAAATTGAAAGCAGGTTACTAATTAGCTGCACTAATTAAGGTCACGGATTATCTTTCCCAACATGTTCGTCTTAGTGGCAGCTGAAATGCTCTTCAACTTGCTATGTGCTAGAAAGGGAATGGATGAGTAATATATTGGGTTACCTTAAGATTGTCTGCTACATGAATCGAATCCGAATGCATATAAGGGGAGAAAAGGAATTTGGCCCACTTTTCTACAATGATGCCCCTAATTTTATCAGGATGCTCTTATAATAGACGATTTATATTTTGTTTGATGAAGATACTTTCCTTCGTACAGTCAAAGTTGATAAAAATTAAATAGAATGCACTCCATTGGCTGACCCCCAGAATATTGCAATTGGGCCAATAATTGACCAAGCGGTGGCTGCTGCTACAGCCTTTAAGTTCAAAGCAATATAGGAGTCTAGCGATCAAGGAATTTGAACCGCGTGTTGACTAATTCCATTGTTTTGAGTTCACCGGACTATATAGTCGTCCAATGTTTGTATTTTTATTACAATAAATAAAGATGGGTGGACTCGCAGCTCAAATTTGGGTGTAAAGAAACGGGTTTACTGTTCTGAGTAACTGGCCTAATCCACACCTGCTATCTAACTAAATATATTGTATTATGTTATTATTGCTATGTATTGTATTATGTTATTTCTGTATATTGTATAAGCTAATTGTATCACATAAAATGTGTGAAGAATTCATTTTTGGATTCAACCCTCCAACCAAGGAGAACAAGTTAATTGCATCTATTCTTCATCAAGAGAGGCGTTCTCATGGTAGAAGAATACGGAATACATGCTTTTAAACGTGTTCAATTAATTGAGTCATATCGATACTGATATCGCGTCGCAATGATTTTGTTGATTTCTTAGTTTATTCTGTGATGAAAGAGGCCTTGTGGAAACGAAAATACACACATCCGATTGAAATGTATGGACACTGACACTGGTACGATGTGTTGATGTTGCTACCTGATGAGTAGGGAAGATGTATTGAATTGTACACTGGTACGATCTGTTGATGTTGCTACCTAATGAGTAAGGAAGATGTATTGAAATGCATGTGCAAAAATGAAAAAACCTTTGGCCGGGAAAGGTAAGGGAAGACGTTGCTACCTAATGACTAGTAGGCATGATGTAATCCAAAATGGGTAGGTTCTATCAGTACATAGATAAATATTCTTCTAGAGTAACCCACCGGTAAAATAAATATTCTTCTAGAGAACCCCACCGTCAAGATAAATATTCTTCTAGAGAACCCCACCGGCAAGGGAAACTTTATTAGTCAAACGGCAATGAAACCTGAGGAGGGGGGTGTCGGCTAAACTTAACACTCACATTTTTGCTCACCACTTTAACCAAATGTGTATATATTCTCAGCATTCTTCTTAAGACATGCGTTCATAGACATAACTATAGTTAACTTTTTACTTTGTATTTATGGAATTATGGTTATGCATATAGACACGTGTCAAGTATTCAGAAGGACGGTGAGCATAGACCTCGGGTTAAAGTGATGAGCAAAAATACTCTCCTAAAAAATAATATTTAAGAACTCGAACTTTGTTTCATTGTTTTAAGGATGAATGTATTCATGTGGTAATTTCTTGGTGATTGAGATACCACGCCCCTTGTTGATACTATCATTTGGGTTCCAAAACTTCAAAAGCTATCGGAGGAAGAAGGATTAGTGGTTTTGGGGAGGAGCACACGGAGTGTATAATTCTATTTTCTTAAAGTTCTTCTGTTTTAAAATAAATAAATTGAAGTGTCAATTTCTTAGGTTTTGGATGAGTTTTCAATGAAGCGACAGTCTTAGAATAAAAGCGAAGTAGATCCGAACAGAGAAAAACAAATCGGTCAAACATTGTTAACATTTAGTTATTCGTGTTTGATATTTACCAGCCTAATTATTATTCTTGCTAGCATGTCACACATTAAAGAATCATTAAATACAATATCTGCCATTTTATTCGTCGAATGCATTAACTATTATCTGAAATTGTCACCAACGCGGCATTGTGCAGTGGAAAACCTAGAGATATCTACACATGCTTCGTTTTCATACGTCTCTTTTTCTTTTTGACCAAATTTTTTACAACTCGTTAGGTACGTAATTGAAATCTAATCATATGGGAGGAAATCGCTGTTAAGACATTCTCATGTTCTATAAATAGCTCTTGAGCTGAGACCAAAACCGCACAACAACACCGCAAGGGTGACCTGAAGGACACAGCCACATAGCAATAGGGAAATCAATATTTTCTGGCAAAGACCTGGAAATGGAGTTTAACAAAATGAGTTGGGTCTTAGCTTTTCTAGGGTTTATGTTCCTGGGTAGGATTTGCAAGGCTGATGGCGCTACCCATTTTTATGATTTTGTTGTAAGTGCTTGCTACATTACACTAATACCATTTTGATAGCCCTTGCATGCTCATCATCATCTGTTTCTTCGGCTCGAATTTTTCATATATATATTTTTTATTTTTAGTGGATAATGTGCTTAGATTTTTTATGAGTATTTCAGTAGAATTGTGTAATAAAATGTTGGTGTCCGTTTTGTGATATTTTGCAGCTACAAGAAACAAATTTTACAAGGCTTTGCAGCACAAAGAGCATCCTAACTGTGAATGGCAGTTTGCCTGGGCCGACCATCACTGTTCAGAAAGGAGATACTGCTTTTGTCAATGTCCACAACCAAGGATTGTACGGTCTCACAATTCATTGGTAACAGCCTAGCTAGCAGCTCCATTATAATAGCTCTAGATCAGAATGCTTTTTTTTTTTCTTTTTTTTTTGGCTCACTAAACTAGAGAAAAGCTAATAGATGACGAATAAAAACCGTTTGAGGAATTGGGATAAAACCCGTCGAGGTTAGCAGTGCCGGATTTTTTTTTATTTCTGACTTTGACCAGTTTGAAAATAAGCTTTGGAAGATACTGACCAAAAAAGTAGGAAAAAAAGAATATAAGCTTTGGTGAAAAATTATGGATCGTTGATTGGTTGATGGATAGGTTAGGTGCGTTTGGATATATGGATTGATTTGAGACAGTCTCCACATGGAATATTCATATCTTTTTTTTGGGGGGGGTGGTGGAAGGGGGAGAGAGAGAGAGAATAAAATAGTAAATTTTGAGTGCATGGCGTGAAAGTGAAACTGTGAATAACATCTGGAAAACAACAAAAAAACAAGGGGAGAGGAAGGGGGAGGGAAGCTCCATGTTGTATCTATTCTTGTGCATCCTGAATGGAACTTTCCTCTGGCTTTAATCTTTTCTTTAATAAACACAAAAATAAAACCTTCCATTTTGTTTTCATTGCTTCATAATGTAAAACCATGAAAAGAAAAGACAAACCCTTTTATCTTGTGTAATATTTACAGGCATGGAGTGAAGCAACCAAGAAATCCATGGTCAGATGGACCTGAGAACATAACTCAGTGCCCTATTCCAGCAGGAACAAACTTTACGTACGAGATTATCTTCTCGACTGAGGAAGGAACTTTATGGTGGCATGCTCATAGTGATTGGTCACGTGCCACTGTCTACGGTGCCATCATTATTCTACCGGCTGCCAACACAACTTATCCATTTGCAACGCCAGATGCACAAGAAACACTAATTCTAGGTACTTTTATTTATATCAGGATTTATATATGTTGGTTATTTAAATGTATGTTACAAGGACTGGCCAATGAATCCATAGATCAATGGTAAGAGTATTTACCTGCAAATCAGTGGTTGCATGCTCGAACTTCAATAGTACATTCCCCCACCCATCTTCCAAACTTTGACCAAAAAAATAAAGAACTATTTACAATGACTGCGGGCCATGTCATAACAGTGAGAATGTGAAGGTGAAAATGTCCGACATTGAAAATTAGTTAGAAAATCTTGTAAGGGCTTATAACGAGTTCGGCTACTCCACTAATTGCTAATTGGTTCTTAATAATTATATTCCTTTTTGATCTCTGGTTGCTGCAGGATCCTGGTTCAAGGGAGATGTGATGGAAATAATTGAAGATGCCCTTGCAACAGGTGGCGAACCAAACATTGCAGATGCCTTCACAATCAATGGACAGCCCGGAGATTTGTATAGTTGCTCTAACGGTAATTATAATCGAAGCTCCAAATCTAATATACTTTAATAATCTAATCCCATTAATTATTTTATTGTTATTTATACATACAAGTGAGAAAGCAGTGGGGTGAATTTCTAACTGGGGTTGACATGAAGGATGATGGTAACATCCCACGTAAATGAAGAAGACTTCTAGGTGTCTGTGGAATATTAACGTGCAAAGGATATTAGCTTTTCTGACTTGTGGTGATTAGTTAGGAAAACGTAGTAATCAATTTAAAATTAGCTCTTGATTAAGTGATATTTATCTTCCCAACTGCTATTAGGCCCCGTTTGATTCATGGGAAAGGAGGCTTGGGAATGGAAATTCAATTGCTTTCCCATGTTTGGTTCCAGGCATGGGAAATAGTTGCTTGGCATATGGGAAAATAGAGGGGAACGTGAAGCCCTCCTCTTAACTTGGGTTTTGTTTTCCCTCTTTACGGGAAAGTTTGGAAAAATTAGCTAACATTCAATGCACAATTTTCATGACTATTTTGTCCCTATGAACAATTTAGAATTACAACGTATCATTAAATGCATTCTTTTTTTATTTGATTTAATATGGGTATAATTGGAAAATTATACAAACTTTGTTTTCCATTCCTACTCAAAACAAACACGGGAAAGGAAACAAAGTGAAATCTCTCGGTTACTTTCCAGACATTACCAAACGTGGAAAATGAATCTTTCACTCTCATTCCTTGGGAAATGACATGGAAAGTGATTTTCCCTCAAATCCATTCCGTGAACCAAACGGGGCCTTAGAAGTATTAAATTTGAATCCCAACTCATGAATGATTAAAAAAATAAGTAGTTAAAACTTCAAGAAAAAGATTGAAAATCACTGTTTTGCTTCTTCATGAAAAAAAAAAAATTTGCACGCTATTTTATTTAGGGAGTTTCACTAAAACACCCAAAATGGGGGTTGAAATTATAAAAAAACCCAAGCACTATTTAAACATAGAAACACACGCAAAATCAACCCCAAAGTCAACTTTTTGGGTGTGTTTATAAATGGGTTTTGAGTGTATGTAATGATGGGTTTTGGGTGTGTTTATATGTTTAAATAGTGCTTGGGTTTTTTTTATAAATACATGTCTAGGATTGGGTTTATTTATAAATTTGTATTTTATTTAGTAGCTGTCGTCCATTGAGATTTGAACTCATAATTTCCTCTTACAATGTGAAGAATGAATACTAATAAACCAAATGATCCAGTCATACATCGGTGGTTTTTTTATTATTTTTTATTATCATTGAAGTCTATATCAACTACAATTATTTTACAACGAGACATTATTATTTTATCCAAAATCAATAAGTAAATAGAGGAAAATACCGCGTAAAATATACAAACATTTACTTTACTCTTAATATAGTGTTTGATTTATTCACGTGTTTAATGGTGCAGAAACAACATATCGTTGGTTGGTTGATTTTGGCAAGACCTATCTTCTCCGTGTAATCAACGCAGTGATGAACGAAGAAAAGTTTTTCGCCATTGCCGACCACAACCTGACAGTGGTAGCTCAAGATGCTGCATACATAAAACCTATAACCACCCCTTATATCATGATAACTCCAGGCCAAACCATGGACATTTTAGTCACTGCAAACCAGCCTCCCAGCCACTATTACATCGCTGGTACTTCTTTTGTTGACGGGAATGTTGCATTCCACAACGGCACCACCACTGCAATTCTTGAATACAACGGAAACTACAGCACCCCCTCAACCACTCCCTTCCCGACTCTTCCAGATCACGATGACGACACAGCTGCTGAAAACTTCACTAAGCAAGTGAGGGCCTTGGCAAGCAAAGACCACCCTATTAGTGTCCCCTTAAACATCTCAACGTCGATGTACATTGCTGTTTCAATAAATGAAAGGATTTGTACAAATTCTTCTTGTGCTGGGCCAGATGGAAATGCGCTTGCTGCAAGCTTAAACAACATCAGTTTTCAGACTCCATCTAATAGTATACTGCAAGCATATTATGGGTACCTATCATGTTTTTCTTCCACAAATTATGTTGAGACTCCATCTATTAGCATATGCATATTTGCATGTTTTTTTGCATCAAATAGTACATGCTATAAAATTATAGTATTATAGTTCATGAAGTTTCTATGTATAAATATAAGGTTTCCCAACTTATTGCCTATGTGCAGGGGAAATACCAGTGGAGTGTACGCAACTAATTTCCCAGACATACCACCTTATTTTTATAACTTCACGGGAGACGTAGCAAACAACACACTATATCCAAGCTTTGGGACGAGGGTGAGGATGATCAACTATGGTGAAGGAGTTGAGATAGTCTTCCAAGGGACCAACATCATTGCACCTGAGAACCATCCAATGCATCTCCATGGTTTCAGCTTCTATTTGGTCGGAACTGGTTCTGGGAATTTCAATAGTACGACGTCGCCTACGACCTACAATTTGGTTGATCCACCAGAAGTAAACACCATTGGAGTTCCAAAGAATGGATGGGCAGCCATCAGATTTGTAGCTGATAATCCTGGTAAGTCTCTTAATATCAAATGCACATTAAATTAATTAAGGAGCAACCATAAGCCTAATGAAATGAATTATTTGATAATGATTTTCAGGAGTATGGTTTATGCACTGTCACTTGGAAAGGCATGCCAGCTGGGGAATGGACACTGTGCTCATTGTGAGGAATGGAAATACCAGCGAAAGCACGATTCGTGGACCACCTGCTTATATGCCTCCTTGTTCCAACTCTTAAATTTAGAAATTTAATTTATCTTCCGTCAATCTCAATTTATATATTTACAAATTTGTTGCTATTTTATTATTTTGTCTACTTCACATCTTTTTGTTTGTTGATTTTCATCCTTTGAAGGAAAATTGGAAACAAGTTGAAAAAATTAAATATATATCTTATGCATCTTTTGCTCCTTACTCAAATCTTAAATTTCAAATTTTGTATTTCCGCCACAACACACCTCCAACTAAATTTATCAATTGAAACTTGGTAGTAGGTGACACCTTTTCAACAAGACAAAGCACTTTATTATTCTGCTACACTGTAAACTTCAAATTGAACGATACCATATAAAGCTAAAAACAAACTAACAATCAAATTTACAGCCAATAAAGAATCAATCAGCAAACACATGTTCAGACTCATCTCAGTGAAATCCTAGGCACTCAGAATGATCTATGAAGCTATGCATCCCCAGTGCTAGCAATGACTAAAGTGAAGCATGTGTACGCAACAGATTAACATGAAGCATGAACACACAAAGTGAAGCATATATCAACAAACTATGCAATCCCCTATGTCAAATGCAGATTCATACAAAAGAAACCCATTCAAGCTTGGATTCTCTAAGATTAAACTAGGAAGCAACTATACCTCTTTGTTCAATATGTTTCATGTAATTTATTGCATCATCCATCATATATTCATACCCACTGCCTCGGTAATTAGAACCTATAAGATTACACACCGAAAAGGAATCAATTCGGAAATTATGAAGAGAATGAATGATTTTGTGACTTGATCAAAGTCAATATTCTTTCTTTCATGTATGTCAGCTTGACAAGTACGAGCAATACCTGATCAAACAAGAGGAAAACCCAAGACCGTGGTTAGCAATACCCTGTTTGGGTTTAGAAATATAGTTCAAATTCAAGCAGCCTCAGATTGGTCCAATAGTCAATTCTGGCCCAATGATGTAATTCGAGCTCGATCAACCTTCTATTTTTTGGACTTTCAAATTTAAAAGTGCAAAAGCGGGAAATTAAATTAATCTACTGAAGCATTTATAATATACATGAGAGTGATTAAATGACAAGTGCTCGATGAAATAGTTAAAATAAATTCTAAAATCTCTTTATCTACTTTTAACTTGATAGCAAAAGGAAGATAAGAGTTCTTAATTTATCCATTTAACTAATTCAAAACATAAATTACAAAGCAAGGAAGGACTGGAGATTTCTCTATCCAGTCAGACAAATACATCAATTCAAACTGATCGTTTTAAAAGAAAATCATACCATGAAGATGGCAGAGCAACAAAAAATAAACGCAGGAGTTGTCAACTGGTTATCTGGGGATTAAGCAGGCTAGTTTGAAAAGATCTTGAGTTCTTCAAGTATTTTCGAGACGTTGCGTCTAGTTTGGAGAAAGAGTCCTCTTCTTCTGTGGCGGAGGCTCTTTATTTATAGCCAAGGAGAAAGCTTTAATGATGAAGTCTGAAAGAGGTTATTTGGATGCTATCCAAAGTCAGCTACTGAGTTGCTGATTTGGACTGGTTCATAGGCGAGATGATAGGATGTTTTGAAATTGGTACTCAGGTGACGAGGGGTAAATTTAAAAGATATTCAACCAAGAACGCAACAAATTTCACACACTCTAGACCTTGACCAAATACTCTTATGACTAGTCAACTTTCATATATGAATTATACCAAACAATAACATACACAGAGCATACCAAGATGTACCTGCAAGCCTAGAGAATTACTAGTGACAACCTAGGCACTCAGAAGGACCCGTCAATCTAGGCATCCCCTGTGCTAGCAACAACTATGGTGAAAGTGTGTGAAGACAGCATAATCAAGCAAACACCAAACAGCAGAAAAAGATGACTAGTCAACCTCACAAACCCAGATGACTAGTCAACTATCAATAACACAAACCCAGAAAATTTACAGAGTTGGAAACCAGAAACTGTTCACCCAGAAACCCACCATTGGGAAAAACTGGGGGTTATCAACCGACCAGGCAATCCACTAAGTAGAAAAAGATTCTTACAAAGGAACACAAACAAGCTCAAGAAAAACCTAGATCTATTTAGGAAGATGAGCTATACCTCCTTTGTGCAATCTTCTTCTCCAACTTAGCAAAGCTTGAAGCTCAGTTCTTCATGGCAATGGCAGCTCCTTCTCCAGCTCGTTCATCCCATGGCACTAGCTTGCAAGCTCCAACACAAACCGAAACCAATTTGGATTCAAAGGAGAAAGACCAATTTCTTCAAGAAACCATACTCTTGAAGAAATCAATCTTGAATCTTCTCTTGAGGAAGAAGAAGAGAAAGAAAGCAAGCCAATCTTTCCAAAACTTCCACCCAAAAGAGACAGCCGCCAAATGACCAAAAATGTAGCCTTTACTGCCAAAAAATTCCTTAGGTCAGAAAACACAGATGGCAGCAGAGAGAGAGAGAGAGGAATAGGACAAAACAATTTGTTATCTAGCTGGAAATCCTACAGAGCAAGGATGACTACTCATCTGAGAAACGGATGATATCATTTTATGAAGACTGTTTAATGTAATGATATGCAATGCTCAATACCTTTGTCAAATTGCTTGAGCCACCATAGAGCAGAGATTAGAGAAGAGCACCAATAAAAGTTTTCCCTAATCTAGACTTGAGCTTGATAAATTACATTACACATCCTATTACAAAGTTGTCAAGGGAAACCAAAAGAAAATAGTAAAAACCATACATTAACAATCTCCCCCTTTTTGGCTTTCCTTGACAACACACTCTCTAAGAACACTCAACCCAAAACCGAGACTAAGGAGATGATGAAATGAAGATACCTGCAAGAACAACCAATCTCCTAGGCACAAAAACAAGCATATTATCACAGAAATTTAAAACAATATGCAATGTGGGATGAGAGTGTTCTCCCCCTTGTTGATAAGGAAAGTGCAAAAAGGCAGAGAGATAGAAACAACATACAAAAGTAACCACAGAGTGATAGGCATATATGAACAAGGTTAACAGCAAATAACTTAGATTGATGACTAGTCAAATAACAGTTGTTTAAAACAGTACAGAACATAGATTTATGACTAGTCAAATACCAGTTGTTCAAAACAGGCCAGAACAACTCCCCCTATCAAAATGCACAGACGAACCACAATGTGATTACAAAATAACTCCCTTACCGACCTGCAGAGGGTACAAGATTAAAACCACTACACAAATAGAAACTCCCCCTAAAGCAAAAACACCCCATTTAGAAAACATACTCCCCCTGAGTATCATATAGCATAAAGGAATTAACCTTTGACGTACTCATTAAGCGAACTTTCCATAAATAGCCAACAAACACAAAAGTGCATCAGGCTAAAGAGAATAAGAAATGGAGCATAAGTTGCAAGGAATCATACCTAAAGCAATTAAAATCAAGTGGCTGAATTTAATTTCAATGTGTACACATTACACATAAAGAAACTCCCTTAAAAAGATAGAGTTTCAGCAACATATTTATCAAAACAAGGGACAACCAATGAATTTTTCTTTACACACCATAGTACAAAATCAAGACAAAGTACTAAGGTTTCAAAATTTAAGGCATCAATCATTGTCAATTTGAAGAAAGCACCAAGCAAGATGAACCCTAAATTTTTGCTCAAGATTGAGGACATGCGAGAAAGAACACAAGACATAAGTCTCTAGGTTGTCCAAAAACACAACATAGCTTCCAAAAAGCACAAGAAGAAGAGAGTGGACTAGTGAAACGGACTAGTCACGCATGTCCAAATTTGAGGTGGCATCAAAAGACCAACAACCTCATAGACACAACCAAGAACAAAAGAGAGCAAATCAATCAAGATAAGGCTTAGAAAGACAACATTGATGTATGAAAATGTTAAAAACAACAAGCAGAATGTTCTCAAAACACATGCATCTCAAAGAAACTCCCCCAACAAAATAAATTAGCCAACAATCCAAAACTCATATAGCAAGGCAGATTCTTAAGGATTTCAAGAATTATGTTAGGCTAAATTATTGAATGTGGGAACACACCTTATTAAGATGACTGGTCATAGACCAAAGTGGCATCATCCAAACATGATCATACATAAACACAATACCAATGTTCGAACAGAAGGTGCAAATCAGACAAGGAGAAGACAAGTGAGCCTTTGTGCTTTGTTTCATAACCAATGGTCTTTCTTAGAGAGTGAAAATTAATTTCACCAAAAGGCACAAGAACCCTATTAAGAAGATAACTAGTCAATCATAATCAGTGGGAGCATAAGTTGACTAGTCAACCAAGGCAATATCATAACAAGCATCGCTGGATGACTAGTCAACCACAATCAGCATGAGCATATGTTGACTAGTGAACTCAAGCAATATCATAACAAGCAGCAATTTTAGTATCGACCTTGAAGAAGACATGATTTTGGTTTAAAAAAAAAAACACAAACATGAACTAGCAGATATATCAATTGATCAACGATGTATTGGCTATTATAGCCTAGTCCAAGTCTTCAAGCACAATAAGTAAGAGAGAGAGAAGATAACCACATGTGCAAACAAAACAATTGTAACTAACTCTGATAGATAGAATATGAATTAGATTTCATGCTCAGAGATGAGGCAAGATGGAT